GGGGGGGGGGGGGGGCTGTCATAACCGCTTCCTACCTGTGGCGCGGGGTTATGGACGACTGCTGGTGCTGACAGCAGGCTGTGTTGCTCCTCGACAGGCCTGTGTTGCGTCCCGACTCACGCTCGCGTGTCGTGGACGGCGGCCAACCACCACGCTTACCCGGCGGCTGGTGGCGACAGATGGTGTCGGATGACGCCGGTGTCAGGCCAACGGGGTGCTCCGTCGTGGCCGGCGGGGTCTCACCAGGCTGCTGGGTCAGTTCCCCTGCGTGTGGGAGTCCGACGCGGCAAGACTCGGCAGCAGCTCAAACCTGCCTTCAACTCCGAGAGATGCCTTCAACTCCGAGAGAAGATCTTAGGCATAGCTCCGCCTCCCCTGCCGGAAGTTGTGGAGAATTGTGATGACTTGGTGGAAGACCTGACCTGAAAAAGATGTATTTAGCTTGAAAATGCCGAACATATGCCTTCCACTACCATTGGACGGGGGACGGAAGACTACTACGTTGAAACTACGGGGCGGAGTACGTCCTTCCAGCTCACCCCCCACCCAGTGATTATACCCGTGTGGCTGGCCCGCTAGGATATCCCGTGTATGATGGCCTTATGGAAACGGTGTGAAAGGCCTTGGTTGGTTGCGAGGGGCGAGGCACGGTCTGTGCGATACGCAATCTCGAAGAGGCATATTTCTGACACATATCGCTACAAATAGTACACCAATAATTACGTGAGATATTAATTGCATACTTCTTACGCTCTTACATCCGATGCAGTTGCCAGCTGTTGAAGATAAATGTGACTTCTGGTATTCCTTCCACTGTGATAAGAGAGCTTGTTACTGAGGTCATCGCGAGTCACCCACAATTACTGACTAGCTCATTGTCTTCTTTCGCTTCTCGGATGCCGGCGCAGTGAAGAAATGACCGCTCTTTGTAATGGCCAATGAGCGCATACAGAGCGCGGATGATCTTTTAAAGCTCAATGCCACGCGGCGCGAAGGCAAGCCATTGTTCGGGCGTCCGACACTGGCCGCGCCGGCTGAGCGGTGAGCCTGCTATGGATGTCCCGCGATGCCGCCACGCTGGGCGCCGTCGCCCTGGATGTCGCCACGCTGATGTCTGCGGCGCGGGATATCGCCTTTCTGGGGTCTGCGGCTCTGGATGTTTGCCTCACACCGGATGCCGGGCGACACTGCGAGCCGTGTGTCTCCCCCCTTCCCCTCTCCCCCCCCCCCTCACCCGCGCCGCGGAGCCCACTCCAATACGGGGAGTCGCTGGGACAGCTTGAAAGAGGTTGTGCCATTCCATAAAGTGTGCTGATAACCTGTGGTAACGGGCCAGACCAGACGGGGTGTTGGCATCGCACCATTCGTCTATCTGGTCGGAATGGACGTGACGGGTGAATTGTCATGGCTTCCGTCGCCACCATACCGCCTCGGCGCTCCTGACAGTAGTCGGCAGCAGTCCGCGGATAAACGTGCTGTGTGCGTGGTGTACGGGGAGCAGAACAGCTGGTTGATAATAGGATGCCGGGTAGATTATTTCCGGTCGAGATAAGTGGATCCCGGTGATGACCGAAATGAATCCAGAGTAGAAATGGTGAATTTGCTGGTAAACCTGTGCGGAATGCGTTCCTCTCTCTCTC